CTTTCCACGTCCGTGGAGCTCGGCGGCGGCACACACTGGTCAGTGCGGGGGCCCGGGATGGGGTGGGCAGGGAGACGCAAAGACACTTGCTCAGTGTGACTTTCTCGTCCTGTGTTTGCAGAGAAGACGCAGAGCCGACCGACCAAATGTAAGAACCACCTTCCCACCTACGCCCCGGGTCCAGCTGTTGCCTTGACCCTTGGTAGTCTCTGTTTGTGATTGCAAGGGCTGCTGGGAATGGAAGCTGGGCTGTGCCCAGGGTCAGAAGCGCTGAGGTATTTGTTTCTACTGGACTGGAGAAGGGCTGCGTTCGTCAGACTGTGTGAAGCTAGCATTCACGTGGAGCTAGATAGGGAGGATGGGTGCAGCTAGAAATCTGGAGGAGAGCTGGGCAGTGGTGGTGCACGCTTAGTCCCAGCACTTGGGAGGCAGAGGCAGGCCTGTCTACAAAGTGAGTTCCAGGACAGCCAGGACTGTTTCACAGAAAAACAAAAAGAAAAACAATCAGGGAGGGGAGAGCGGGGTCTGGCTGACTGGAACCCCATGCCCTACCCAGCCTCTCGTCCTGGGTTTGACTGGAGGGACCCACTGGTACTGGAGGAGCAGCTGACTGCTGATGAGAAGCTCATCAGGGACACCTTCCGCAACTACTGCCAGGAGAAGCTTATGCCTCGAATTCTGCTGGCCAATCGGAATGAAGGTGCCCATGTGGAGGGTGGGCACCCTGGGCTCCTCAGCCACACAGGACTTGCACCTGCTGCAGGGCACACACACCAGCTCTGTCCCTGGAGTCAGGGACTCCATCAAGCTGAGACAGGGCCTGATTCTGGCACCCATCTCTGCAGTTTTTCACCGGGACATCGTGTATGAGATGGGGGAGCTGGGCATGCTGGGACCCACCATCAAAGGTAAGGGCGATTCTCTGCATGCTCTGCAGTCCTTCCTCCCAACACCCAGAAAAGCCACCCTTTCTGTCTGTGAAATGGGCAGTGGAAAGCCCCTGCCCACTTCCAAAGGGCCCTTTACTCAGTCCCTGGTCCCAGCTGGCTGAACTTTGGTCATCTTTGGTCGGTCCACCTGCTCCTCTTCTACACCAGGGTATGGCTGTGCTGGGGTGTCGTCAGTGGCCTATGGGCTCCTGACCCGAGAGCTGGAGAGAGTGGACAGCGGCTACAGGTCAGTGATGAGTGTCCAGTCCTCCCTGGTCATGCACCCCATCTACGCCTATGGGAGTGAGGAGCAGCGGCAGAAGTATCTGTCCCGGCTAGGTAAGCAGTTGCAGCCTGGTGGAGGGAAGTGAGACTGTAGTCTGGAACGCCGATCCCAGTGTCCTCATAGCCTGCCTTCTCCCTACAGACCTCCGTGCCAGGCCCGAAGGAGGGCTCAGTTGCTAGCCTTGATCCCATGCCATCTGTCAGCCTCCTCCTTCTCCCTTCCCCTTTGACCACCATCATTTCCCCCTTGGATTTGTTTTCTGTGCTCATCCCAGCCCAAAGCTGAAAGTCTTAACTGTTAACCAGATCCATGTGGCCCATGAGCAGCCCCCGAGACCTTTCCTCTACTTCTTCAGCCACTCAGATTTTATTTGTAGATAGGGTCTCACTATGTGGCCCTGCTTGGCCTGGAGCTTTGTAGAGCAAGCTGACCTCAAACTCAGAGGTCTACCTTCCTTGGTCTCCTGAGGGAGGGAGAAGAGCTAGCATCAAAGGCATGCACAACCATGCGCAGCCCTCTGGCCACTCTTGATTGCTCAGCTACTAGAGATTCTCCCAATAACCACCTTGGCGATTACTTTTCCTCAGACCCTCCTTCAGGGTGGGTGTGGTGGCACATGCTTCTAATCCCAGCACTCCAGAGGCAGAGGCAGTTGGATCTGTTGGTTCTAAGCCAGCTAGGGATACATCGTGAACCTTCTCAAAAACAAAACAAACAAAAAACAACCGAGAAAAACCCCACAAACTCCATGCCCTCTTTCAGCCAAGCTTCTGAGTGCCCTTTAAGACACTTTTGCCAACCCCTTTCTTCTGGCCTCCTTCATATTATGGCATTGTGATTATAGCTGGCCCATTTCCTCAGTTCACAGAGTGCAACGATGTCAGGGTGTATCTGCCCTGGTTACAGGTTTGGCTCAGTGGTGAAGATAATTTATCAGGAGATGAGTGAGGCCTGGTAGGTGGCCTCATGACTCTGTCCTGTGCTTGCAGCCAAGGGTGAACTTCTAGGCTGCTTTGGGCTTACCGAGCCCAACCATGGGAGTGACCCAGGTGGTATGGAGACCAGAGCTCGCCACGATCCGTCAAACCAGAGCTACATTCTCAATGGGACCAAGACCTGGTGAGGGACCCAGGTGGTGGTGGGTGATAAGTGTGTGTGAGGGGACAGATAGCAGCCAGATCCCACCATAACTTTCTGGCCCCCAGGATCACCAACTCGCCTGTGGCTGACCTGTTCGTAGTGTGGGCCCGGTGTGAGGACAACTGTATTCGGGGCTTTCTGCTGGAGAAGGGAATGAGGGGCCTCTCAGCCCCTAGGATTGAGGGGAAGTTCTCTTTGCGGGCCTCATCTACTGGTATGATCATCATGGACGACGTGGAAGTGCCTGAGGAGAATGTGCTCCCTAATGTGTCCAGCCTGGCGGTATGTGGTGGGGGCCACCTGCTGGCTTACCTTTCTCACATTTTCAAATGGAGAACACACATGGCCCCTGTGCTTGGGGGGCATTGTGGAGTTTGTGATGCTCCCTGTTCGTGGATGTGCTAATTGGTTACCACTATGTTCATTGGCTCTGCCCGGATGCATATGGGCCCTGGACCACTTTCTACTCTGCTTGTATGAGCAGCTTCCTGTCTCCTGCCAGCTTCTTGCATCTGAGCACTGAGGTCCCATGCTGTGTAGGACTGTGCGCACATACAGAGCGGAAAGGCACTGAACAAGGCTGCTGCACCCGAGTTTTGGTGTACACACCCTATGTGATTTAAATGCAGATCCCCTTGTCTGGAACATTTGGGAGATGGATTTTCCTGCTTCCCAGTTGGTTCTTCCCAGGCCTTTAGCTGACTGAGACCTCTTGTCAATCTTACAGGGTCCTTTTGGCTGCCTTAACAATGCTCGATATGGCATTACATGGGGTGTCCTGGGAGCTGCTGAGTTCTGTTTGCACACAGCCCGGCAATACACTCTGGACAGGTGTGTGGGGCTGCTGAAACACCTGAGGAGTGTGGAGGGTCTTGGAGTTTACTTTGTACCCCAGTAGTAACTTCCCCAGTACCCCCAAGTTTAAGTTCTCTGCTCTATGACATGGCTTGGGACATCCTGAGCTGTTAAAATGCTGAGCCAATAGCAGGGTTAGCATGAACTACAGGCCCTCAATTGACCTTGTCTTGTCTAGGATCCAGTTTGGTGTCCCCTTGGCCAGGAACCAGCTGATTCAGAAGAAGCTGGCAGACATGCTCACTGAGATCACATTGGGCCTCCACGCTTGTTTGCAGCTTGGCCGTTTAAAGGATCAGGACAAGTAGGGAATCATATACTATGTTTGAATCCTGGGACCTTTCTGAGGTTCTCCTTGCCAGCTAGTGGCCCCAGGGACATAAGCTTCTTTCCCTCTTGGTTTTGATGGGTTGGACCAGGGACAGCCTTCCACTTGGATATATGCTCCATCTGCTGGGTGTGGTCAGTGCATGAGACCCAGTGTTTATAACTTATGTGCCACTCCCAGGGCTACCCCAGAAATGCTCTCCCTGCTGAAGAGAAATAACTGTGGGAAAGCCCTGGACATTGCCCGCCAGGCACGAGACATCCTGGGAGGAAATGGGATTTCTGATGAGTACCATGTGATCCGGCATGCTATGAACCTGGAGGCAGTGAACACTTATGAAGGTCTGGGCTGAACCCTGGGCTTGGGGAGGAGGGTGTTACAGTGGTTTTGGGGAGGGAGACAGCAGTAATGAGCAGGGATGGCGAAGTCTTCCAGCTGTTACCAAATGACTACCTTCTATCCCTCACCTGGAGTTGTTCACAGACGGAGTCACTGCATGACTTCAGAGGTCCTGATGAGCAGACTATGTGAGATTCTCCTGGCCCTTGTTCTCATTGTGGGATGGAATATGGAGGGAGACATAATCCCAAGAGCAAAGTGTGAAGAGAGGCATGGTTCCTGGTAGTGGGTGGGGTGAGGAAGAGAACACCACACAGTAATTCTATCACTACTCATGTTCAGAGAAAAGGGTGTTTGCAGACTAAGGGAGTCACAGAGCATGTACCCATAGCTTAGGACAAACTTGGAAAAAGACATGAAAAATAATACTGGGGAGTGGGGTGGGAGGAGTGGGTTGTAGGGATGGCTCAGTGGGCACAGCAGTTGCCATAAAAACATAAAAACCTGAGTTTAAGTCCAGAGCCCTCATAAAGTCAGCACAGTAGCATTAGTCTATAACACAGTGCTCCAAGGTAAAATGGGGAAACTGAGGCATGAATCTCAGCCAGCCAGCCAAGGTACACACTAGTGAACAGTAATCCCATCTCAGATAAGGACCAAGACCGCAGGTTGTCTGCTGGCCTCCAAATGTGTGTCATGTGCACCTACACTCATACATTTTTCACCAATATTTAAAAGGGGGGAAATACAATCCGGTGTGATCCATGCACAATGGGAACACTAGCTTCATGGACAGAGAGGCTTCCAGACAGGAAAAACAGAATGTATGTGATATCTTCCCTGCCTGCCTCAATGACTGAGGATTTGAACCAAGGGAAAGTTGTAGTTTCTGGATGAAACATCCCAGAAACAGTGAGAGGAGAGGTGGGTGAGATCCTACAATATGAGCATGATTTGAGATGGGTGAGACTTGGGTTTTTGGAAGTAAATGGAATCATTTAACTGTATAAATAGGAAACCATGGTTTGTGCTGCTGTCCCTAAAGGAGGGGTGGAGCAAAGGACCATCCATGTTTTTGCATAGATGATCAGTCTTCTCAATTCTGGAAGAAAGTAGGCCAGGGTAGAAATCAAACATTTAATCAACTGTAGGTTGGGTGAATTTGCCAAAGCTAGGTCTACGGCAGGGCTAACCTTGTCACACTTTGGTAGTTAGCACAAAGATCTTTGGTGACTTTTGTGTTAGGTTACAGAACTATAAAGAAAACAATCTCAGCATGGTTCAGTGGGCTCTGTGCCTTCTCTTGGTGACTGTCATTAAGATGGGAGCTTCTTAGTAGCAGTCAGCATTCACCATCTTTGTAATTCTGTTCTTCTGAAGTGGGAACCTAGGGTAGCACAGGGATGACTTTAAAGGTAAGTTATGAGCTGAAGATTCCAAACCAGTCCTAACATTCGTTTCACACAGGTACACATGACATTCACGCTCTGATCCTTGGGAAAGCAATTACTGGGATTCAGGCATTCACAGTTGGCAAGTGAACCCACTTCAACAACGGCCCTTCAACAGAGAAATGTTTGACTAGAACCTGGCAGCACCATGCATTGCTCTGAGTCTGCTCAAGATGCGGTGGATGGAACCAGCTTTTATGGTGGAAAGTGAGACACTGATTTGAGTCTATGGAAATTTCTTTCTGCAAGACGCTCAGATATGCTCTATAGAAAGAAGATACAATTCTCTGTATGGCCCTTAGCCCTTTTAAAATGAGATCAGACTCCATTTACTTTAAGCTTCTTCTAACTGGGGGAGAAGAGAAAGACGAGAGTGACACATGCTTCATTTCACTCTGAAATGGAGCAGACCTTGTGAAAAGGTGCTCTGGAGTTTGTGGTGCCTTTCTTCCTGCCTCCATCCTGGGAGCAGTGCCTTCTATGTTCAACACTGAGCAGATAAGAGAGAAAAATAAAGCCTGTGCCTCACTCCTTGGGGTTGGTCTGGGTTTACTGGTAACCACAGAGAGGTAATTGGGGAGTTTCTCATAGGAGGGATGAACATGCCTGGGGGATGTGCCTTCCTGGAATAGTTCATAGACTTTGAGCTAGACAGTTTCTGACTGGCAAGGGGGTCCTTTGTCCTTTCTTTCATGATACAGCTAAGAACACAATGATAACATGGACAGAGTTTGGTTTCTTAGTCCAGACCATGTGACTTGGGACTCCTAGCAAGGTGGCAGAGCACCAAGGGCTTTTGCAGGGACTCTAACCCTGTGGACTAGAACTGGCAGTATAGGGCTTAGTAACGCACCTGTTTCCTAGAGTTGGGATGGCTATCAGTGGCAGAGCACATGTCAGGCATGTGCAAATCCATGTGCCCTGGATTTCATTCCCAGCAATGTAGGGAAAAAGAAAAAAAGTCTGGTTCCTGTCCATATTTACTGTCAGCCGAGTCATTCTAAGCCTCTTTCCTCACAGGATACACCCCCAAACTCTTACCTCAGACTGGACACATAGGTCTTTGTATACAGTTTCCACAGTATGGCAAACTTGCTTGAGCTCCGTTTCCAGGAGGCTGATCTTTGCCATCTTCTGAGTGAATTCTTGGAGTCTTTCCTGAATGATCTTGCTATGGTGGCTGTACACCTGGTACATCCTCTCCTCCAATTTCTCTGTCAGATCTGAAACCTTTTAGATAGTAACAAAGAACTGTACTGACTGCGGGTAAAATTTTTGTCTATGTGTTATTTATTTAGAGGTGTGGTCTTGCCATGTACCCAGGCTGACCTTGAACTCATCTCTTCCTGTCCCAGTCTCCATACTATTGGGATTATATGCACACAGGTATACACTATTATCAATTCTTTTGTTTCAGATGGCTAGTCTCATGTAGTCAGGACTGACCTTGAATTTGCTATACAGTTGAGGCTTGTTTTGAACTCCTGACCCTAGTGCTTTTATTTCCTAAGTGCTGAATCATAAGGATGTGCCATGATGCCTAGCTTCTGCTTATTAAAATGATACAAATGTTCAGTTGGTTCTTCATCTTAAATCTAGGAATGATTAAAAATCAACAGGAAAAGTAAAATGTGTAGGAAATCAGGTGCGTGATACATACCTGTTATCCCAGCCCTTGTAGAGGCAGAACGGAGAGTCTCCTGGGGCTATACATTGAGTTCCTGGTCATTTAGAGTTACATAATAAGATCATGCCTTAAAACCCCAAAATAATTAAAATGTACAGAAAGACATGCATTGGTTCTAGGCAAACACTACCTCATTTGAATGAGAGACCTGAGCATAGCCTGTGAAGACTAGCATCCATGGGGTTCTGGAACCAGCCCTCTTATTTGATACTAAGGAAAGACTATCCATAATTATCAACAGAAAAGGTCTGACTGAGGGCAAAGACCAGTGCATTTCTTGGCTCTGCTGGTGGTGCATTCTCAGGCAGAACCAGGCATAGCCACGGATACTTGCATTACAGCAAGCATACCGTGAGGCAGGAGCGCCACATGTGCTATAGGACCAATTGCCTTATCTCAGACCACTGCTACCTTCTAAGGACACAGGGGTAAGAGAAGGCAAGCCATAACCAGGCCTGCTGGACCAGGCTGCAATCCTAGCCACTTAGAAGCTGAGGCAGGTCGTCGTCCTCGTTAGTATAGTGGTGAGTATCCCCGCCTGTCACTCGGGAGACCGGGGTTCGATGCCCCGACGGGGAGATACGCTGTCCTTTGCTGGGCATTGGTGGCGCACGCCTTTAATCCCAGCACTTGGGAGGCAGAGGCAGGCGGATCTCTGTGAGTTCGAGGCTAGCCTGGTCTACAAGAGCTAGTTCCAGGACAGCCTCCAAAGCCACAGAGAAACCCTGTCTCGAAAAACCAAAAAAAAGAAAAAGAAAAAGAAAAAGAAAGCTGAGGCAGGAGCAGTACAAAGCCTGGACTACAGAGTAAATTCAAGGCCAACAGGGCAAGTGAGACCCTGCTTCAAATAAAAAAGGCTCAGTATTAGAATACTTATCTAGCATGCTCAAGACTCCTGAGTTGGATAGATCTGGGTTCCTGAGCCTGGCTCCCTTATATCATTTACCACTTTTTCTTATTTTTAAAGATATGGGTGTCTTTCCTGCTTATCTGTTTGTGTAACATGTATGCCTAGTGACTGACAGCAGAGGGCCTCTGATCTACTGGAGCTGGAGTTACAGTTGTAAATTACCTGACATGAGCACTAATAGTCAAACTCAGTCCTCTAGAAGAGCAGTAAGTGCTCGTAACTGCTGAGCTATCTTGAGCCACACTTGTTTTTTAAATTTTTTGAGACAGAGTCTCAATATGTAGCATGGTTGGCTTGAAACTCACTATGTATGCCAGATGGTGGTGGCGTACACCTTTAATCCCAGCACTCAGGAGGCCAAGGCAGGTGGATCTCTTGTGAGCTCAAGGCCAGCCTGATTACAGAGTTAGTTCCAGGCCAGCCAGGGCTACACAGAGAAATCCTGTCTTGAAAAACTTAACTATGTATACCAGGCTGGCCTTGAATGAACAGAGATTCGCCTGCCTTTGTTTCCCAAGTACTGGGATTAAAGATGGAACTACTATCTAGTTTACCACCTAAGAAATTTGTGTGTGTGTATGTGTATCAAACCAATAGTTGTTTTCAGGTTGGGCAAATGCTCTACCACTAAGCAACATACCCATCCCAAATCATTCATTTCTGAGCCTTAGATTTCTCATTATTTGTTTTGGTTTTTCAAGACAAGGTTTCTCTGTAGCTTTGGAGTTGTGAAACTCGCTCAGTAGACCATGCTGGCCTCGAACTCACAGAGATCTGCCTCCCAAGTGCTGGAATTAAGGGCATGTACGACCACTGCCCAGCTTAGTTTCCTCGTTTATGAGTCCACTCTATTGACTGTTCCAGAGTAAAATGAGAACTATGTACAAAGTGCCTCGCAGGGTCCCTAGAACCTAACAGATGTCAAACCATAGGTTCTTCCTTTCATCTGAGGGATTGTCACCTTCATCTTGAGGCTGTCCCTGAAGTTGGTCATAAGTGCATGATCCTTCTGTCTGCTCTCATTGATGTTTTCAATCAGCTCCTGGGCTTTCTTCTTCAGGATTTCAATGCTAGAGTCCAGAGAGGACAAGGGTCCTGGCAGCTGGTAGTTGGCACTAAGGTAGAAATACAAGGATTAAAAGCTGACTTCTGAAAACACTGAAACTAGCATCATGTTCTCCAAAAAGTGGCTGACCTGAGCTGAAACTCAGTGGTAGAATAGGTGCTTATCATAACTGAATAGCATACACACACTCACACAGGCCAGGGAGAATGTGACCTAATTAAGCTGCATGGTATGAGTGAGGAAGGAGGAAGCTGTGAACTACTGCCCTTGTGGGTGACACTCAACAATCTTCCCATTTCATTCATACCTTGAGACATGGGGTAGCTTCCCAACCCCTGTATAACACACATGAACTAGGATGTAAGCCTAACATGCCTGCAGTTCCAGAACACAATCTGTGCAGCAGCCCAAAGCCACTGTTCATATGTACATATACACCACTGGCTTCTTTGAAGTGAGTACTATGGTAGTTTGAATAAGAACCAATAACCCCTGGGGGGAAGAGAAGGGAAGAGGGTTTATATATTGAAGACTTGGTCCCCAGCTGGTGGAACTGTTTGGGAAGGATTAGGAGGTATGGCCTTGAGGTAGGTGTGCCATTGGGGTTTGAGGTTTCAAAAGACTGGCACCATTCCCAATATGCCCTCTCTGCTTCTGCTTTCTGTCTGTGGATCGAGTTGTGAATGTTCAGCGTCTGCTCCAGCAACATGCCTGCCTGCCACAATGTATAACCTCTACGGATGTACACTACTGTGTGCTTGTCATGTATGATCAGAAGCTTCCTCAGAGGACTGTGTTTAGCTGCCTCTGTACTCCAGCATGCCCATTTTGTTGTTGTTTGGTTTGAAATTGTATCTCATTCTTTTTTTTTCTTAATTTATTTTTTACATTCCAATCCCAGTTCCCCCTCCCTCCTCTCCTTCCGCTCCCCTCATTCCCCCACCTCCCATCTGCTCTTCAGAGAGGGTAAGGCCTCCCCTAGGAAGTCTACTAAGTCTGTCTCATCATTTCATTGAGGCAGGACCAAGTCACCTCTCCGCCCCCACACCCCTGTATCTAGACTAAGCAAAGTATCTCTCCATATAAAATGGGCTCCACTATTCAGTTTGTGCATTGGAGTTAGATCTTGGACCCACTGCCAGTGGCCTCATGTATTGTCCCAGCCACACCATTGTCACCTATATTAAGAGAGTCTAGTTCAGTCTTATGCTGGTTCCTCATTTGTCAGACCTGAGTCAGTGATCTCTTACTAGCTGAGGTCAGCTGATTCTGTGGATTTCCCCATCATGGTCTTGACTCCTTTGTTCATATTATCACTCCTCCCTCACCTTGATTGTACTCCAGGAGCTTGGCCCATTGGTTAGTTGCGAGTTTCTGCATCTGCTTCTATCTGTCTCTGGAAGAGGATTCTGGCTTCTCCGGGCTGTGGACTGTATGTAGGCTGGTGTCTTTGTGTTATGTGTGGTGTCCACTCATGAGTGAGCAATACTGTATTTGACTTTCAAAACAGTGCCAAGGTTGTTCAAACTCAAGGCAACACACCTGCCTCAACCTTTCCAGTGCTGGGATTATAGACATGAGCCACCATGTATAACTCCACTGTCTGCTGAGTGAATAAAGGACACCCACTGACCTATTACCCACCTCCAGGTGCATACAGACTCAAGTTCATTGTCCTCCAGTGTTTACAACAGGACTGCTCTAGAAAGGCCAAAACACTACAGTGAAGCCAGCTACAGAAAGTATGGGAACTAGGAGGCCAATCCCTGAACATTTCTATAAAATGGTTTTGGGATGGAACAGATTTATAAAGGGGTCTCTGACCTCTGAAGCTTCAATCAGTCATCTTTCCAAGTCTGAGTAGGATGGAGATTCACTCAGATCCTTGTGTGGCTTGGATCTTTTAGAAGGACAGCCATGCTCTCCTTGCATGAGCCTAGAACTAGGGAACAGGCTCAAGATGCCTGGTCTTGGCTCCCCTGAGGGGCTCCCTCCTGTATAGCATCTTACTGGGACTGTGCCCTCAAAGCTTGTTGGTGGCACAGCGCCTCTTCCCTGTTAAACCCTCCCACAAAAACCACTCTGCCTCTCCACAGCCAAATGCTTTCTCTTTTTGCATATTCCATGTGCCAGTTTTTGTTTTTGTCAACTTGACACAAGCTAGGGTCATCTGAGAAGAGGGAACCTCAATTGAGAAAATTCCTCCATCAGATTGGCCTGTGAGCAAATCTGTGTAGGCATTTTCTTGATTAACGACTAATGTGGGAAGACCTAGCCCACTGTGGACGGTGCCACCCATGATTTGGTTCGGGGTTGTACCAGAAAGAAAGCTGAGCCAACCATGGAGAGCAAGCCAGTAGGCAGGGTTCCCCATGGCCTCTACTTTAGTTCCCGCCTCCAGGTTCCTGTCTTGCTTGAATTCTTGGCTTTCCGCAGTGATGGATTGTGAGTGGGATGTGTAATTGAAATAAACCCTTTCCTCCCCAATTTGCTTTTGGTCATGGTGTTTTATCACAGCCACAGAAAGCAAACTAGGACTGAACTACCTCTGGAGGCAAGAATGGCCACTTGTCATCATCCTATGTTTAGCTCACTTTCTCATACTTCCTACCAGCCATCCTAGAGCATCAGAATTCTCCCTATGTGTGCACATATAAAACTAACTAGTGCAGATGATGCGTGCTGCCTGTTGACCTTTCAGATGCCCCATCCCCGTTCTCAGTATTAGAAATTGAACCTGGGGACTCACACATGCTTGGCAGGTATTTTGAGACAGACTCACTCACCCAGGCAGACAGGCCTTGGATGCTGGCTTTGAACTTTTGCTCTTTCCTGGCTCAGCCTCTGGAATAATTGGGATTAAGACCTGTGCCACCAGGCATGGCTCCTTTCTTGTGTCAATTTTTTTGGGGGTGGGGGTTTTTGAGACAGGGTTTCTCTGTGGCTTTGGAGGCTGTCCTGGAACTAGCTCTTGTAGATCAGGCTAGTCTCGAACTCACAGAGATCCGCCTGCCTCTGCCTCCCAAGTGCTGGGATTAAAGGCGTGTGCCACCACCGCCAACTTGTGTAACTTTTAAAACAATTATTTTCCCCTTTTATTGAAAATGGATTCTTTTCTCATACAATATATCCTAACAGTTTCCCCTCCCTCTACTTCTCCTAGTTCCTCCCCAACCCTCTGTAGCCCAGGCTGACCTTGAACTCAGTGATCCACCTACCTCTGCCTCCCTCCAGAGTGTTGGAACTAAGGCATGGGCCACCACTGCCCAGTTCAAATTAATGATTCTTAAACTGAGTGTGGTTTAATCCTAGCACTTGGGAGACAAAGGTAGGTGGATCTGTCCAAGTTTAAGGACCGGCTGGTCTATATAGAGAACCTATCTCAAAACAAACAAAGAAAAATTAATGATTGATTCTTTAGAGTTTTCATTACCACCGATACTTTGGTTACCCCAAAATTTTTCCCAGTCTATGATTCCCTTCTGATCTCCCACCAAGATGTCTCCTTCCAGACTTCTCTGCAAAGTTCCACCTTTGCCCTTCTCCCCCCTACACAAGATCCCATCATCCCTCCTCTTAGTAAATGATACAAAGTCACCCAATCACCATACTAGAGACTTAGCAGTCAGCCTAGAGTTGGGTTTCTCTGGACCTCCATATCCTATCTAGAAATCTTCTAGTTAAACCTTTCGAATTCCCCCCACCTCCACCCCAAGCTATGTTTTTCATTTCTCACCTGGACCATTGTGACTTTACAAACCAAAATCTGATCTCCTAATCCTGTATGACAGCCTAACAAAGACCCCTGGGGCTACAGGGTCAAATTTAAATTCCTTGTATAGCAGACAAGGCTTTCCAGGACCTGGGCCTGCACCCTTTTCAGCCTTACTGTTTTGTTTTCTATGTGGGGATGGGCCCCAGGCTCTGTACATGCCAGTAATTGCTCTGAGCCATACCCTCTGCCCCAGCGATCTGACCCTTTAACAAAAAAATTTCCCCAAACCCACTCGCCTTTACCCTTTCTGCTTCTGCCAATGCAAGATCTAAGCCTCCTGTCCTGTTCTTGGTCGTGACTGTCTTAGATTATGCTTTCTGTGCTCATGGTGGGAACGAGTTTTCTTCTGTGCTTTTCAGCACTTCAAAGGCTTCACTATGCACTCAACTCCTGGGTGTTCTGCTGACAGAGCTACTCTAAGATCCCAGCTCTCATGCCTTCTCATACTCAGCTTGCCTTGTCTCACCCTCTCCTGGATCAGATCAAGTTTCAGGATTTCTTTTTGTGTAATTCTCTGCAACCTGACTGAATTTCTAAAGGTTCCAAGATGCTCTACTCCAATACTCAAGAGATGAGGTGAAAAATCACTTGAATTCAACTAATTCAAATTTTGTGGGGGGGACAAAGGCCTGTTTCAGATGTCTACAGAGAGCATATTTTTATTTTTCCAAACCCATCTTTTGTGGATTTCAGCTTTTCCATTTCATTTTCTTAGTACTCAGCAGCTGCATATTAATCAAGATGCTAATGAGTCATTGGCTTCCCTGGGTCTGCACTCACCAATTAGCTTTAATAAACAAAATGTGTGGTGTCCTCTCTGTAGGCTTCCTCACTTCCTGGGCTGACTTCTGTGGCAGAACCCTGGACTGAGGCCAGGGATGGAAAAGAGCCCATTACAGTTGCAGGGTGTGTTTGGCCTGTGTGGGGCACGGGATGGGGGGCTTGTAAGCGTATCAATGCACATATCTATTATGTCTGTCCTTCTAAGAAGTCCCTAATCAGTTCTAAGAATTAGAAGAGTTCCCAAGCAGGGTCCAAGCTGGCAGGGGGCCCAGGAAATGGGTCTAAGCAAAGAGACCATCTGTTCACTCCAGGTAAAGCTATGATTGGCAGGCGTATGAGCCAGAGCTACCCACTGATGGGGCCTTCCTTCCATGGCCTCTCACAGATAACACAAGTAAATAAGTCACCAGCCACTTATGACCCTTCTGGGGGGCAGTCCCAGGAGAGGGACCCACAGAATCTGGCACTCAGGCAAAGTGATACTTTGCTGA